CTTTTGGGCATGTCTGGCGGGCATGATGCAGCAGGTAATTTGTCTGGTATTGTCTATTCTGTAGTCTCTCAGATGTGTTGAAGTATATAAACTTTATTTCAGGTGGTACCAATAATGTTTGATCCAGCCCAAATTTTTAGGCCCTTTTTGGGTGTCTGGTGGGCCTAATGCAGCTGGCAGTATGTCTGGCAAGGGTAACTTTGTACTTGGTGGAATGTTACCTTTCATTCAAAAGTAGTTTCATGTTCCATCTACATCAATTTTACCAGAGCAGAGGGGGTGGGTCACTTTTGGGCGTGTCTGGCGGGCATAATGCAGCAGGTAATTTGTCTGGCATTGTCCATTCTGTAGACTCTCAGATGCGTTGAAGAATATAAACTTTATTTCAGGTGGTACCAATAAATAACGTTTGATCCAGCCCAAATTTTTAGGCCCTTTTTGGGCGTCTGGCAGGCCTTATGCAGCAGAAATTATATCTGGCAAGAACCATTTTTCACCCAGTGTGATATGTAAATTACCCTGAAGTACATTGTGTGCCGTACCTCTCTATGTTCGATCTAGCTGATTTTTTTGCCCCTTTTGGGGGTCCCCGGAGGCCAAACGCAGCAGGGGGTCCCCGGCAGACGTCCTGTTCTACATATGCCCTATCATTCTCTACATGATCCTGTACTCAGCAATCGGTACCAAGTTCGTTTGACCAAACTTTTCTTGGCTGCTGCTCTATATTGTTTCTTAGTTGCTGGTTAATTTAATATGCTGGAAACGATTTTGTCTCATAGTGGACAATGACTACATACATTTGGTATTTTAGTTGAGAAAAGCTCACTGACTCCTATCATAAAGACTGCTGACCTTGTGAAATCTGCGATCAGGTGTTACAAGTGGAATGACATCGTGCCTAGTGATTTACAGATACATAAAATAGATAGATGGATACATAGTCACATAAAGATAGATAGATACATAGCTGGAGAGAGAGAGAGAGAGAGAGAGAGAGAGAGAGAGAGAGAGAGAGAGAGAGAGAGAGAGAGAGAGAAGAGAGAGAGAGAGAGAGAGAGGAGAAAAGAGAAGAGAGAAGAGAGAGAGAGAGAGAGAGGAGAGAGAGAGAGAGAGAGAGAGAGAGAGGAGAGAGAAAGAAGAGAGAGAGAGGAGAGAGAGAGAGAGAGAGAGAGAGAGAGAGAGAGAGAGAGAAATATTTTTATCAGTCTCAGTTCAGGCTCTATGATATATCTTAATTGTATAAGCAAAATTATATAATTTTGTTATCATCATTACTATAACCATCATTGTATATTATTTTCAGTATCGCCCTCTGTGTCCTCACCCTTATTTTGATCATCGATATTACTATCATCATTATTAATTACAATTCTTATTCCACAATGATTTATTTTTTCTTGTGCTGTCTGCTAAGGAACGTTTAATGTTATATTTTCATCGAAGCATGAACAGTTGGTTGTTTATCTGCCATTATTAACATCCATTTTTCATTTATTGTATTTTATTTCTTGTTTATTTTCTTTCCGATAATTCTGCAGCCTTTTCTCCTTCTTGCTTTTGTTCTCTTCTCCATCTTTCCCTTGTTCTGCCTGCCTGCCTGTCGTCGTGTCGATGTGTGTATATTTGAAAATATTTCACCGTTATGTTGTCATAAAGTAAATTAAAAATATTAGAATTCCATTTTCGCTATCGTAAATCGATACGTTCACTTTCTAAAGATTTCATTCTTCTAATAATATCATGTCCAATTGCTGCAGAATTGGCATTGTAAATTTTAAGTTCATCTACACACTCACTGCGTTTTTCCTAACTGAAAAAAATCATTTAAAGACTCAAACACACAAGCATGAATGTTGTCGTGTGTACACCCTAATCATCATTTTCAAAGATAGGTTAACACAGGGGTTCCTAACCTAGGGGCCACGGGGTACCTTCTGGGGAGCCATGGAGCAATATGAAAATTATTACTGCAGTTTATCCTTCCTACAGCACCTCCATAAGATGATTTCTCACATAGTAAATTGGACTCTTTATATATAATGTTCGTGTTCTATAGCTACTGACACCATTACGCTATTCACGACTAGTAGTAACTGAATCTGAAAAGATGAATCACTGAAAGGGGCCATGAAGATTATTATGTACTTGTTGGGGGTCACAGAATGATAAAAGTTGGGAACCATTAGGTTAGCAGAAGGCCATTTTGGCAGAAAGTTTCACCAACGCAATCTGAATGGCTTTAATGAATTACTAGAAGGCTGCGTCTAAATTCAAACAGGTAAATAACGTTCATAAAAGAATGTGTAATAACAACAAGCACAATAAGTACAGATAATGATACTGATAAAAATCAAGCTAAAACTATACCAACAGCAAAGTCGTGATAATTCTATTAAAATGAAGATAATACAGTATTTCATTTGTTAATGTCACATTATATCATTCAGTCATAGAATAATTGGGGCGTGACTTTAAAACATGCAATCAAGGTCTTGAAATTAAAGTTTCCTAAAAGTCATATATTCTGCAGATCTTTTTTTACTTCGAATGATTATTTGAAATTACTTCGAATTTAAATATTCTAAATTTAACGGAATAATGTGCTATGGATCTGGTATAATAAATCAACTTTGAATTATTAGCCAAAAATGTAGATCACGTGACCCTTTTGGCAGATTGGATTTATCTTATTTCTATCCATTCTATTCAATTATCATTTTCTCCACAATAAAACATTCCTCCAATTATATCCCCATTTACTTCCGTTGTTACCATCTAAATATTGCATTCTTTCTTTTGTAGAATGACAAAAAAAGTTGATCACCTGACCCATTTTGGAGGGAAATCTTCAGTCGCATCGAGTCTTCCTCCAAGGCACACGTGTCTCGGGTTTCTTCCTGCAAAAATCCCTTTGGCGCCAAGGTAATGTAGTTAATTTGCTCTTCCGTTGTTCAGAATGTAAGTTCTAATTGCTGCCGTCATGTGCTTCCTATTGGAAAGCTGCGTAATAATAATAAAATCATGAAATCGAAGGAATTACGCGGGAAAAGCTCAACCGGGGAAGCAAATGGACAAAGGACTGTTAATTAGGATAAGTTTTAGGGAGAAGGTAAATCCAGGCTCTTAAATCACATCCAGTAGAGGAATAACTTTGTTTGAATGTAAGAGTAGAAGGAATATGAAATTAATTAGACGTCGAATACTTTTGAGATTTTCTTTGGGGGAATTTGAACTTGTGACGTCACGCGACCGTTAGAAATTTGAACTATAACGAACTCCTTTGAATTCTAAGTCAGATTCTTTGTTGCTGTTTTGCTTTTGTGAGTAGTTGTGATAGTAGAATGTTATCCATCTGCTGTGAGATAATGAAATCCCTAGTTTTTTATGAATTATATAATTGCCAGGGGAATGAGTTGACACGTGGCATTTACCGGAATAAATTTTATGCCCAGACATACAAAGAAAATCCTGTCGTTTGTCCAGATATTGAAAAAATGCCTGAAAATAAATAACTCCCAAGATTTAAATATTTTTGATAAACACTTTAGGAAATCATTCAAACCCATTTGAAAAAATCGTCACATCGAACTCGGTTAACCTCACGGTGATGCCTTTGTCTGACTCTTTACAGCCTCGACCAAGGTCTACATAAGTACTTATATAGACCTTGGCCTCGACAGCATGCGAGGGTTAGAGGGTTCACGCTCAGATGGTGTGAAGCTTGGGTTGGCCGGGATTAGGTTAGACTCCGGTGTCTCGAACTAGTGAGGAGGAACGTGGCTGTCAGACCGATTTTGTGTATCCGACCTATCTAGAATATATATTTCTATCAAGTGACTGACTACTGGTAGGACAGAAAGGCCCCGATATGTGTCCTGCGCATGCGTGGTGAAACAAACAAGATGGCGGCGTCTCGACACAAGATGGTTAGGTTAGGTTCGTACTTATCACAAGGAAATGGTTATATGCGCATACGCATAAGAGTGCCGTACGCCTAACCGCGAGAAATCGGATACGCCTGCCGTAAGCGTAACCTCGGCCATACTTTTAAGATCCGGAAGCTTTTAAGACTTTTTAATACTTAAAACCTTCCATCGATCAAACTTCAGATTCGACTCTGAGGGTCTTGTAATAACCTAATTTGGCCTAGGTTAAGCATGCGACCGCTGTATGCGATATCTCGCAGTTGGGCTTACAGCACACATGCTTATGCGCTTAAAAGAGTCATTTCCGGGTAATGAATAGAACCTACCTATATAAGACTGGATACCCTCGTTTGTTTCACCACCAACGCATCCACAGGCCAGCCATCTGGTCTTCTCTGCCGTATCAGTAGTCACTTCCAACCTATTTAGGTTACTGAGATCACAAGAATAAAAGAATCCACTAAGGTGTGGTTCAAAATTTCCAACATTTCCACGAAAGTACAAAGTGCATGTTTCCCGCCTTCACGACCCTAGGGTTTTATTATTATTTTTTTTTTATTATTATTATCATTTATTTTTTATAAATGATCAATAAATTCATTCATGCTGAAAGTTAGTATATTCAATAGACTTGGTTCTGATACTTTGTCCCGACTGGAAATGATCCTGAACCTTCTCCTAAGTGAAAATAATCCCTAATTATGAAAAGATTTTAGGGGTAGCATGACTATCAGGACTACCCTGTCAGCTCAAGGGCACATTGTCAGGTGTACGCTTTTAGGGGGGAAGGAGAGTCAGCAAAACGTGTTCTTTATATGCATGTGAAAATGTTGAACTACCTCTATATCGAACACAGTTGTTTCGAGCAGTGGTTCCTAACCACGGGTACTCGTTCGGATATGGGTACGCGAATAGAATTCCATGGTTGTTGAATATGCAAAATGCAAATCAGTTCAGTTAAGCTGAATTATTCATTGCTTGAGAGCGAATAATGACGAATATGTTTTCAATGATGTAGACTGTAAGCGAAGAGGAAGCTGAATTTTATTATGCATATCTTTTTGCAGCTGAGAGATGGAGAACAGGATGAAGTGGCTTCTTGTGGGCGTCTTCGGCCTTCTGCTGGCGATGGCGTTTCTGAATGTCCCGCTGGATGTGAAGCAATATGGAAAATCGTTAAGGTCAACTCTTACAGGTGCTGTGGCCTTAGAGACGTCAGGTGTCGCAAACCCTAAGGACTCAGAGACGATAGGGACCAAGGATTCAAAGGAGTTTGAACACAAGAAAGTGAAGGTGCCGAAATACGTGGCTTCAGAGACTTCAGAAGCCGATTCGGAGACGTCAGAGACTGAGGATTCAGAGACGTCAGAAGCCGAGGGTTCAGAGGCATCAGAAGTCAAGATTGCAAAGACGTCAGAAGCCGATGATTTAAAGATGTCTGAAGCCGATGATACAGAGGTGTCACAGACCGAGGATCCAGAGACGTCAGAAGCCGAGGGTTCAGAGACTGAGGATTCAGAGACGTCAGAATCGAGATTCAGAGACGTCAGAATCGAGATTCAGAGACGGCAGAGGCAGAGGATTCTGGGGTGTCAGAAGCCGAAGATTCAGAGATGTTAAAAGCCGATACAGAGGAGTCACAAACCGAGGATTCAGAGACGTCAGAAGCCGAGGGTTCAGAGACAGAAGCCGAGGGTTCAGAGACGTCAGAAGCCGAGGGTTCAGAGACGTCAGAAACCGAGGGTTCAGAGACGTTAGAAGCCGAGGACTCAGAGGCGTCAGAAGCCGAGGGTTCAGAGACGTCAGAAACCGAGGGTTCAGGGACGTCAGAAACCGAGGGTTCAGGGACGTCAGAAACGAGGTTCAGAGTGTGTCAGAGTAGCCGAGGGTTCAGAGTTGTCAGAAGCCGAGGGTTCAGAGCTGTCAGAAGCCGAGGATTTAGAACTGACAAAAGCCGACAATTCAGAGACGCCAGATGAAGATGGATCGAAGATGTCAGAAACGCCACTTGAAAATTTCCCATTCGTGTTAACGGAGAATATTAACATGTCAAGAATACTTATGGACTCTGTAACCAAGAAAAAAGGGAAAGACAAAGTATATTGTCTCTCCGAAGACGATGAACCTTACACGGGCTTCGCTCTCCTAACCCCATACAGGAGCGGCTCCTCCATGGATGTGAAGGCGGAAGATGTCATTCCCTCGGGTGAGCATATATTAGTACAGTGCTTTATGTTTCTCTGTCCCGTCTCTCTCTCTCTCTCTCTTCTCTCTCTCTCTCTTCTTTTTTCTTCTTTCTTTCTTTCTTCTTTTTCTTTCTTTCTTTCTTTCTTTTCTTTTCTTTCTTTCTTTTTTTCTTTCTTTCTTTCTTCTTTTCTCTCTCTCTTCTCTCTCTCTCTCTCCTCTCTCTCTCTCTCTCTCTCTCTCTCTCTCTCTCTCTCGCTTTCTTTTCTCTCTTTCTTTTCTCTCTCTCTTCTCTCTCTCTCTCTCTCTCTCTCTCTCTCTCTCTCTCTCTCTCTCTCTCTCTCTCTCTCTCTCTCTCTCTCTCTCTCTCTCCCTCTCCCTCCCTCCCTCCTCTACTCTCTCTCTCTCTCTCTCTTCCCTCCTCCTCCTCCCTCCCTCCTCCCTCCTCCCTCCCTCCCTCTCTCTCTCCTCTCTCTCTCTCTCTCTCTCTCTCTCTCTCTCTTTCTTTCTCTTTCTCTCTCTTTCTCTGATTCACTCTCCCTCTACCCCCCTCTCTCTCCTCTCCCCTCTCTCTCCCTCTCCCCCCCTCTCTCTCTCCCTCTCCCCCCTCTCTCTCTCCCCTCCCCTCTCTCTCTCTCCCTCTCCCCCCCTCTCTCTCTCTCCCTTCTCCCCCTCATTCTCTCTCTCTCCTCTCTCTCTCTCTCTCTCTCCTCTCTCTCTCTCTCTCTCTCTCTCTCTCTCTCTCTCTCTCTCTCCTCTCTATCTATCTATCTATCTCTCTCTCTCCCTCCCTCTCCCCCCCTCTCTCTCCTCTCCCTCCCTCTCTCTCTCTCCTCTCCCTCCCCTCTCTCTCTCCCTCTCCCTCCCCTCTCTCTCTCTCTCTCTCTCTCCCTCTCCCTCCCCTCTCTCTCTCTCTCCCTCTCCTCCCCCTCTTTCTCTCCCTCTCCTCTCCCCTCTTCTCTCCCTCTCCCTCTCCCCCTCTTTCTCTCTCTCTCTCTCTCTCTCCCCCCCTCTCTCTCTTCCTCGAATAGTTAACTATCCTTACAACCTCTAGTTCTAGCGTATCAGGAAACGTATGAAATCGGTGCCACTCACTCTCCGTCTACGATAACATTTTCTTTTTCAATATCCTCCTCAGGATGCAATCCAGTGATATTGTGGCAACCTCGTACGCCGAAGCAACGGTCCTCACATGATCGACCGCAGGAGGTTTGATAGAGATTACCAGTTCTTCGGAAACAGATCCTCAAAAGTCACAAGGACCAGCAGGGTAGGTGACGTAGTAGTTTCTGGTGTTATCATTATTGTTGTTTATTGTTACAGTTTTTGTTATTATGGTTGGTATTAGTGTTTTATCGTTACCAGTATCTTTATTACCATAAACATCTTA